CACCTCAATAATCCCTTGCCAAAGAACACACTGGTTGGAACTTCGCGCCAATTCCGCCATTTTGTGTCTCTGCATCAATTAGCACAAACAAAGAGCGAGTAATAATAATTTCGCGCTGAGAGAAAAAGGAAAACTAAAAAAAAAAAAAGTAAAAAGATATATAGAAAGAAAAGAACAATATTAGATGGTGTGAATTCCTCTCCTACCAAAGAAAGAAAGAAATAAAGAAGATGAAGAAAAAGAAGTAGAAATAGATGAAGAAATAGAAGAAGAAGGAGTAGACGAAGAAGAAAAAGAAGATGAAGCAGAAGAAGCACAGAAGAAAATAAGAAAGGAAGAAGAAAAAAAGAGGAAAATGAGAAGAAATAGAAGAATGACAGCAAAAAAATGCTTACCAGTCACACATCATGAATCATAGTTACCCACTCATTTTGACACTCACACAGGGTACCCGCGCATACAAATATGTCTTCACCTTATATGACTGCGTGTGTATATTTATATAATGGCTTTGGCACCGGTTGGCCCATTTACTTCTTGTCACAGAATAAACACGTACACGCACATGTTTACACGCACGCAGATACACATACATACACAAAACACACACACACACACGCACATGCACACAAATACACACATGCACATGCACATGCACACACACACACACACACGCACACACACAATTATCAGCCTATGTAAATTAAATGAAAAAAATATCTATCCGCATCTTGATATAAATGAAACAAGGGAGGACATAGTAAAACTGATAAAGAAGTAGGAAGGAAACAGGAAGAAATGAGGAAAAGAAGAAAATGGAAGAAAATAGAAGAGGAAAAAGGGGACAAAAAGTGAGGAAAATGTCTCATTGAAGACGGAAAAAGAGAAAATAAATAGGAAACAGGCACAGAAGAAACAACAAAAAAGAAAAAGAAAAAAACAGAAATAACAAAAGGCACAGTAGAAACAAACAAAAAAAGAAAGAAAAAGAAAAGGAAACGGGGAAGAATTGGGGAAAATAGGGAAACAACATAAAGAGAAGGGAAAAATTACTTCAACGAGAACGAAGGAAAAAAAAAAAAAAAAAAAACGGAGGAAAAAAAGTTAACAAAAACTAAATGAATAAATAAAAAAGATAAAAAAAATAAAAAAAGAACAAATAAACATCCCGGTTTCCGCTGCGGGGAATAACAACATTCTCGGCCTTTCTGCTGTCTCCGTCGTGTATTATCATTTTCTATTTGTCTCTCTCTTTCCTGTCTTCACTTCTATCCATTCATCTCCATTTTCTTTTCACTCCTTATTCTACTTTTTTGTATTTTTTTTCATTCATGTTTCCTTTCTTTATTTCATTTTCTTTTTTTCCTTACTTTATGCTATTTTCTTCCTTCCTTTCTTTCTTGGCTTTTCCCTCCCTTTATCAATTCCCTTCTTCCTCTATTCCCTTTTAACAGAGTTATTTTTACTAATTTTATTCAAATCTGTATTTTCTTCTCTATTTCTATTTTCGTCTATTTTTCCCCTTTTCTTTGTTTTTTTCTCTTATTTCCATATTCATATCTTTCAGGTTTATCTTTTTCTTTTAAATCGTTCATGTTCTGGAGTTTCCTTCGCGTATTTTTTCATCTTTAATTGTTAGCTTTTCTTGTCCTTTCTTTTCTTCTTCTTCCACTTCTCTTGTTCTTCTTTGTCATATTACATTTTCCTTATTTTGTTTCTTTGTTCTGAACTTTCTTCTATCTCCCGTTTCCTTATTCTATCTTCCTTTCTTCTTCATCCTCTTTTTTTTACTCCTTTCATGTTCTTTATCGTTTCTTTCCTTTTCCTTTTCTGCAGATTCCTTTTTTTTCTCTTCTTTTTGCATTCTCGTATTCTTTCTCTCGTTCTACATTTACTTGTTTTTTTGTATTTTTTTTTCTTTTCTTGTTCTCTTTCCTCTTATTCATTCTTATCTTTCCTTATTTCCCTTCTTTTTTCTACATTTACTTCTCTTTTTTGTATTTTTTTCTTTTCTTATTCTCTTTCCTCTTATTCTGTCTTATCATTCCTTATTTCCCTTCTTCTTTCTATTCTTTCAATCCTTTCGTTTCAACTTCTACCCTTATTTCTTATATTCTTCTATCCTTGACCTTGAAATCCGATTTGAATTATATCTTATAAATATACATCATGATATAAAGATTAGATTAAAAAGAATAAAAAATAGATAAATAATAATAAAAGAATAAAAAAGATTAAAATATAGAATTGAAAAAATATGAAAACAGAGAATATACGTTTTTCTCAACTTGACTTATTCTGCAACGTTTTATGTGCGTGTAATTTACCTTTTACTGTTCTGCAATGCATATTAACACACACGCTCACACACATACATACACACACATCCGCCCGCACACAACACACACACACACACACACACATATAAACATACACACATTATATATATTTATAATACATATTATTATATACATTATAATACATATATACATATATAACATACACAACACACACACACATTTATATATATTATATATATAATATATATATATATATATATATATATATATGTATATATATATATGTGTGTGTGTGTGTGTGTGTGTGTGTGTGTGTGTGTGTGTGTGTGTGTGTGTGTGTGTGTGTGTACGAATCTATGTACTTTTTCATAAATGTATATTTGTATTTCACACAGAATCCAGAATTACAGCACGAAAGTCTATTTTCTACCGTGTAGCGAAGCATTTAGAATACCATAAAAAAAAAGAAAAAAAAAATCACTCGCAGATAAATTGAATTTCCCAACGAGGCTTCCCACATAAGTCACTTTGCCGGAAAATTTACTTTAGCACTGGCCCAAAACTTCCACAATTCATGCAAATTCAAAACAAAAAAAAAAAAAAAAAAAAAAAAAAAAAAAAAAAAAAAAGGAAGAACAGCTATGATTCTACTACAAATGAATAAACAAAATCAAAATAAAGACGGAAAAAAGACGAAATTATTAGCAAAAATCGAAATTAAGTGGAAACACTTACTCAAAGGTCTCAATCTGAACCAACGAGTTATGTATCTCATGCATATGTATCTATGTATCAGAGGCTTACACTTCCCTTTTACCAAGGTATTTCATTTTACTTTCACATACACATTTTTCAACTTAAATGACTGGGAAATGATCATATATAATGTAGATTACACTGTCAGTGCACATCATAATTTTGTATAAAAAATATATTTCTACGTAATTTTGTATAAAAATATATTTCTACGTAATAAAATATATTTCTACGTAATTTTGTATAAAAAATATATTTCTACCTATTAGGCCTCTAAAAAAGGATGCCACACAACAAATACAAAGAGAATTACAAAACTTGAAATATAAATAGGGAAATATGAAAGATTTGAAAAATATGAAAAAATAGAAAAGAAAGATAAATAGAGAAATATGATAGATTCTAAATGGATTTTCTCCAAGGAAGGTCCAGATCTCAAGAAAGTAAGATGAACCCGCATGGAGTTCATATTCCTCATAGTGAACAGATATTGGGATTATGAACATTCTATGAGAGACGTATAAGGGTGCATTGAACACTGTATTATATCATTCTAAAAGTGTTCGTGTTAGTTCTCCTCCTCGTGTGTATAAGTGAACGTGTGTGTGTGTGTGTGTGTGTGTGTGTGTGTGTGTGTGTGTGTGTGTGTGTGTGTGTGTGTGTGTGTGTGTGTGTGTGTTGTGTGTGTGTGTGTGTGTGTGTGTGTGTGCGGTGAGAGAGAGAGCGTGCGTGTGCATGTGTGTAATGTGGGTATGCGCTATTGCGTATGTGCGTGCGTCTGGTGTGTGAGCCTTTAAGTATACACATCACATTTCAAGCGTGCGTGCATGCGAGAGCGCCTGCACGCATGTACGTCTCCGTGTGTGTGCGTGTATACAGCCCCCCCCCCTCCCCCCCCGTGCACGTTCACATCAAGGAGAAAACTCAGCCTGACCGTTAGTGTTGAAGCTCGACTGAGTCAGAGCTTCGTCCGTGTGACCTCTGCCTGCCTGTGGACGTGCGGGGCGGCCTGCTCGAGCCACGCCACACCACACCGCCACGCCACGCCACGCCACATACATATCTAGGAAAGCCACACCACACCACCGCCACGCCACGCCACACTACACCACCGCCACGCACGCCACATTCATATCTAGGAAAGCCTCACCACCACCACACGCCACACCACCGCCACGCCACGGAAAGCCACACGCCACATACATATCTAGGAAAGCCACACCACACCACCGCCACGCCACACACATACATACATATCTAGGAAAGCAGCCACGCCACGGCCATACATATCTAGGAAAGCCAGAGAACCACGATGCCACGCTCACTACAAACCGTATCTAATCGCCACCGAACTGCATTCATATCAAGCTACGCCACAGCACTGTCAAGTCGCTCTCACCTCGAGCCACGCCACTAAGCCATACTCACCAAACCGCAACACACTGCAGCTAATCCACGCCACACTGTACCCAGCAAAACCAACACTACAACCAATTGTACCCAAACCACACACATTAAAGCACACCACACTGTACCAAACCAACCACACTGTACCCTAAACCACACCACTGTACCTAATTGTACCCAACGACACCACACCGCAAACCAACCACACCACACTGTACCCATGTACCTAATCCACGCCAGACTGTACCCAAACGACACCACACCGCAACCAAACCACACCACACTGTACCCAACCCACACCACACTGTACCTAATCCACGCCAGACTGTACCAAACGACACCACACGCAATCAAACCACACCACACTGTACCCAAACCACACCACACTGTACCCAACCCACACCACAATCGCCCCATCCACACCACACTGTACCCAATCCACACCACACCGCAACCAACCCACCCCACACCATCGCCAAGCCACAACACACACGCACCATACCCAAGCCACGCCACGCCGCAACCACCCAACCATAACCAAGCCACACACCACGCACCATACCCAAAGCCACGCCACAACCAACCCACACACCATAACCAAGCCACACACACACCACATACCCAACACGCCACGCCGCAACCAACCCACACCACACCACAACTAAACCACGCCACACACACACGCACCATACCCAAGCCACGCCACGCCGCAAGCCATCCGCATCCCACGCCTTCTCCTCAAACATCATTATCCACCTTAACGCACACGACACTTCCGCCTGTGACTCTGATATCTCCTGCCTCTGCTACGGCTACCAACGCTAATAATTCGGTTAATGTTGTTGTTACAATCGCTACAATACCAGAAAAAAATACCACTAATTCACCCACAACCATAGCGTAATGGCAGAATCCCCTTCCATTAACGTCGCCAATAATAACAATAATGACGTCAAATATATCGATAATATTAACATAAAAACAGCAGCGACAGTTAAGATCCACAATACCCCCTAGCTATAACAATAACACCATCATTAACGGCAATAAAAGCACCATCGACAACAAAAATAACGGTGACTATAACATCACCAACGAAGAGATCGCCTCCACCGTCCGGAAACACCATCAACAATAACAACACCACCACCGTCATTATCATCATCGCTACCACCACTACCATCCTCATCCGCTACTCCCAGTACCACCACCTTCACCCCTACCCCCAGCACCACCACCACCATCGTCATTATCATCATCATCATCACTACCACCACCACCCTCATACCCTCACCCTCACCCACCACCCTCATCCCACCCCCACCACCACCCTCACACCCTCATCCCTTCACCCCCACCCCCACCCTCACACCCTCTTCCCCTCACCCCCACCACCACCCTCATCCCTTCTTCCCCACCACCCTCATCACCACCACCACCACTTCCCCCAAAACACAAGCCTCCGCGCAGCCCCCTCGGAGGACAGCAACGAGGCGCTTAAAGAGGCCAATCACGTCTTGAGATCCAGGCGAGAGACACTCACAAGGGGCGGCCTCGCTCGCTCGCTCGCTCTACGTGCATGTGGAGAAGGGGTTAGGGGTTGGTTGGGAGGGGGAGGGGGCATGGTGGGGGTTGTTTGGGAGGGGGAGGGGGGAGGGATGTGGTGGAGGTTGGTTGGGGGAGGGAGGTGGGATAGTGGGGGTGTAGGGAAGAGGGATGGTGGGGGTTTTGTGGGGATGGGAGTGTAGGGGGGGTAGTGGGGGTGGGAGGGTTAGTTGTAGTTAGGAAGGGAGTGGGGAGGCTGGTTGGGGGTTGGGGAAGTGTTGCAGGATGGAGTTTGGAAAGGGAGTGGGAAGAGGAGCTATAGGGGAAGGGAGGAGACTGAGGGATGGGGTTGGGAGGAGACCTAGGGAAGGAGTGGGGTTGGGGGGGCGAGTGGAGATGGGTGGTACGGGAGAGGGGGGGGGGATCCAGTCTAGCGGGAGCTCCAAGTCCTGAAGGCTGTTATTGGAGTATTAGGCTGGCATGCGGTTAAGTGTTTCTCGTAGCCAAATATCTCTCTCTCTCTACCTCTCTCATTGTCTCTTCTCTCTCTGACTTTCTCTGCCTCTCCCTGTATGTCTTTCTTTGTATTTCTCTGTCTTTCTCTGCCTTTTTGGTCTCTCTGTCTCTCTCTACATCTCTCTGTCTTTCTTTGCATCTCTTTCTCTCTATGTCTTTCTTTGCACCTCTCTCTCTCTCTAAATCTTTCACTACCTCTCTCTCTTTCTCTTCATTTTTTTCCCTATCTTTTAGCCCCCCCTTCGTTCCCTCCCCATCTCCTCACCCCCCCACCCCCACTCTCACCCCACACCCACATCATACCAGTAAAATCCGTCTCATTCTTGATATCATCTCCTCCTTCTTAGATTTCAAGCCTAAGATGTTCTCGTGTTGCTAAGATCTGCCTTCTTTTTTTCCATTTTCATTATCATTTTTATTGTTATCTTTCTTATCATTACCATTATTATTATTATCATTAGTATTACTAATGATTATTATTACTATTACTATTATTAATAATATCATTGTTATCATCATTATTACTATCATCATCATGATCATCATTACCATTATTATTATTATGATTATAATTACCATTACTATTATTAATAATACCATTGTTATCATTATCATCATCATTATCTTCATCAATATCATTAGCCTCATAATTATCATCATCATCATCCTTTTCATAAGATGCGGTTGAACTATTCTCGTGTTGCCAAGACCCCCCCCCCCCCTCCAGCCTTTTATCATTTTCTTCCTCTTTCATAAAGTATGCTCGACCCAAGTGGGGAAAATTTGCATACTCGAGCCTTATCAATTCAGCAGTATTTGCCGATGATCCCGAAAGAATCATTAATTAATAAGTCATCTCAAGTCATCTCAGGCGTACCTTTAGGGAACTCATTCATCAACAATTAATAATCAGAGAGAGAGAGGAGAGGAGAGAGAGAGAGAGAGAGAGAGAGAGAGAGAGAGAGAGAGAGAGAGAGAGAGAGAGAGAGAGAGAGAGAGAGAGAGAGAACAAAGAGAAAAGAGAATGAGAGGAGAGAAGGAAGAAAGAGAGAGAGAAGAGAGAGAGGAGACCGATTATGTATTAGACATCACCTTAATGAAGGTACAGTATCACAGACCTGCCGATCCCTTTGGTTAGTATTAATCTATTCAACTATCTATCTAGCGAGAAAAGAAATTATAATAGATTCAAGAAGAGAAATTGTAATAGATTCAATCAAGAAGAGAAATTATAATAGATTCAAGAAGAGAAATTATAATAGATTCAATCAAGAAGAGAAATTATAATAGATTCAAGAAGAGAAATTATAATAGATTCAATCAAGAAGAGAAATTATAATAGATTCAAGAAGAGAAATTATAATAGATTCAAGAAGAGAAATTATAATAGATTCAAGAAGAGAATTATAATAGATTCAAGAAGAGAAATTATAATAGATTCAAGAAGAGAAATTATAATAGATTCAATCAAGAAGAGGAATTATAATAGATTCAAGAAGAGAAATTATAATAGATTCAAGAAGAGAAATTATAAGATCGAGGATTAGAATCTTAAGAGCAAGGACTAGAATCTTAAAGAGAAGACCGAAATCTTGAAGACCGCGGACTAGGATCCCAAATAAGACCAAAAACCGAGGACTAAAATAAAAAGATAAATAAATAAATAAAAAATTGCAGACTAGAATCTCAATATATATTTGTGTGGTGTGCGCGTGCGTGTGTGTACATATATACATAACAATGTATATATATATTATATATATATATATATATATGTGTGTGTGTGTGTGTGTGTGTGTGTGTGTGTGTGTGTGTGTGTGTATATATATATAATATATATATATATATATATATATATTATATATATATATATTATATAAAACGAAGACCAAAGACTGTGGACTATAATCTTTTTAAAAATCGGATATCGAAGACCGAGAGAGAAAAAAAAAACTAGAATCTCAAGAAGGAAAAAATGCAAATGAGAAAATGTAAGAATAAACTTGCAGGAGGATCTTCATACCACAAGGGTACAAGTCTGTGATGAGAAAGAGACACGTCCATCACTCAGGTACTTCGGGTCTCAAGTGGCATCAAAACATCCACTCGACCGTACTGGAATGAATGGAAAAAAAGACAAAAAACAACAACTACAAACTTGAAAAATAATAAAACCAGAAGAAAAAATAAACACTGAAAAACAGCAAAACTAAAAAAATAAGAAAAACAAACAAAAAAACAAATTCTGGACGCTAAAAAACAACAATACTACAAGAAAAAAAGAAAAAAAGAAAGAAAAAGAAAACCACTAAATAAGAGGTAAATAGCTTGATAAAAAACCTAATAGGATTACTAGCCTCATCCCAGAGAGCTCCTGAGGACGTCTAATAACCTGCACAAACAGACGTATTAACAGCACAAACAGCAGAGAGGAGAGACTGCTCCGCTGTTTAAACATACAGTCATCTCAACGTTATCATTTGTATTCAACGAGTCTCTCTTGTTTTTTCCAATCTCTGCATCTCATACGTTCTTTTCTTGTCTTTATCACTTCTTTGCTTTATCCTAGCACCTCACTTTGCATTCCTTTCTCGTCTATCTTATCTCATTCGCTCTCTCTGTTTTTTGTGTTTGTTTGTTTGTTTCTGTCTCCCTGTTTTTTGTTTTGTTTATAGTTCTTATTTCGTTTAATTTGATTTCTCTCTATCTATCTATCTATCCACTCACTCACTCTCTCTCTTTTTCTCCCTCCATCGTTCATGCCCTCTATTTCTCCTTCCCCTTTTCCTCCTCTTCTGTCTCCTCCTTCCGCCCTTCCGTAAGCCCCTCCTCGTCTCCGCAACCCCCCACCCCCCTTTGCTGTTGCTTTCTCTTCGTGCAACGGGGTGAGAGCGGATGCCATCGACCCTAAGCCTTTTCTATCTGACTTTCATATGCCCCCCACGCCCCCGCCCGCCCCCTTTTTACATCTTTTTATCTCTATTCCGATTTTCATCATTCTCTGCACATATTTCATTGATTATTTCTTTTTTTTCTCTCTCTCTCGGGTACTCTCTACTCGAGTCATTTACTCATTGTTTAATAACGATTCCCTTGATATCATGTTTAACTTCTATCTATCAATCTATATTTTTCTATCTCCTTCCCCGTCTCTCTCTCTCTTTCTCTTTTTATCTACCTCTTTCTCTGCCTCCCCCCGCCTCCTTGTCCCTCTGTTTCTTGCGTTTTCCGAGGAGAATTTATTTTCTTGGTTGTCCTTTGTCGGCCACATTTTCTTGTCTTTTCGTCCTCTCTTACCCCCCCCCCCCCCACCACTACTCGGCTGGATATCTTTAGGTCGTCTGTTTCTCTTACATCTGTCAACCTTTCCTCTTTATATTCTTCTTTATGGCATCCTCTCGAACCAATTTTCTGTATCTATTTTGTTTATATATTTTTCCAGCCTTGTTTCTGGGCGAAATCTGTGCATCTATTCT